AGCAGGAGCTTCGGCTGAGGCTCGCAGGAATTTGCCGAAACTGAAGCCACAACACCCCCACTTCCAACTCTGCCAGGTTTTCATATGGAGCTTCGCGCAGCATGAAATGCATCTACGAATTCGAAAAAGTTTCGCAACACTTGACAGCTGCTGTATCATGATGCGATGGTGTTCGGCCAGGTTCACCAGCAGCAGCTGCCCTGCTACGTCCTGCAGGTACTGCTCAAGGGTTCGACACTGCCACCGGCCACATAATTTTGTCCACTTCTTCAGTGCACTGGTACAACCATGTGGCGCCTGAGCCACGCAGTGACTTCGGCGTGATGCCCTTTCAGTTGGTCGGACACCGGAACTCCCAAGCGGGTGACAGTGCCCGAATAAAGCATCCAGAAAAGCCACAGACAATCTATCTGATATCCGAGCGTGTTGCCTCTGTAAAAAGCGTTTGGTTTTGGCCCCCAAAATCCGCACGAAGGCCGTGAGCAGATCTCTCGGCAATCAGGTCCCGACGACGAAGTCTCAGAGTCTCACTGGGCCGCAGAAGACCGTGAAAGCCAAGCAGAAGGAAGCCCGCAAAGAAGACGGTGCCGATGCCAACCTCAGCCGCGACCAAGTAGATCAACTGCTTCAGCTAGCAGGGCGGGCCTCGACCTTTGGGGGATCTTCCGGGACCCTCCTCCGCAACTCCGGGTGTCCCAAAGCTGCTAGCGGCTGCGGCCAAGCACCGCCCTGGTTTTGCACCCATCGCGGGGGGCAGCAACGACCTTCTGAGCCGGGTGCTGGCCCAGCAGACGCAGATCCTTTGCCAGCTTGCCACCTCCGCCCGGAAAAGCCACGACTCCTTGCACCTCCTTGCATCCGTCCACGACTCGGAAAACTCGGGCAACTTCTCCTCCAACAGCGGAGTGCGGGAACCAGGACGAGCTCCTCAGCCTTCTGAGCCTAGGCTTGGTTGCGAGCAGGCAGCGAACGCGCAGGGGCACACCAGGTTGGCATGGCTTTTGACGTGCCGACACAGCATGCTGGCCGACCCCAGATGGATCGCCGCTCAGCTGGGCTATCTCCGCGACGTTAAGACCATTCAGGACCGCACATCCTGCCCAGACACTCCGACAGGGGCCGCCGGGGGGGCAAAGCGCAGCAGGAAAGCGCCACTCCAAGCGGTGTGTGACTGCTCCTTGGTTCCTGCCTGAACCTTTTCCTTCTGGTTGAGATGGGTGCGTGACTGCTTCTCGGCTGTGTACACACCTCCTGAAGTTTTTGGTCGGCACCCGCACCAGACTAGCAAATTACATTGCAAGTTCTTTCGCTCTATCGTTTTCGAGCCCTGCCTCGCAGAGCTCCACCATACTGTGGCCATGCTCACTTCCTGACGCTTGGCCCGCTCCTCGCACGAGGCTTGTGGGCCGGCGCAAGTCGCGATGGGATTTCCGAAATTCCTACCGATCATGGACCCGCCTCCTAGTAGCCGCGGGCAACTAACTGGTTGGTTCAAGGGAGGCCTGAAGCCCCGTCAGCAGACCCCTCTCTGCCAAGCAGTTACAAATGCTCGCCAGGCTGGAGATGCATGCCGCAGTGTGGATCCGCTTAGCGCAAGGGCCTGAATGCGGAATGGAACGCGCTTGTCAGAAATTTGGCCAGATCGACAAGCAACCTCAAGCACTACATCATGCGGGTCAGCGTTTGTATGCCGATTTGCAACCTTACAGCAAGCCTTTCCGAGGTCAAGGGGCGGAGCCTGCTGCTCCGGACAGTGAGCCCTCGGCAGCTTCGCCTACAAAGGTCAGCTTGAAGTCTTCGGCCCCAGCTTGCAGCCTCAAGATTGACACGACTCGCCTCAAGTTTGAGCACGGACCCCGATTCGAAGCTGAACCTTTCCTGGTAGACCCCCTGCTTCGAGCAGGGTTCGTTGATCCGAGCGTGTTCCGTCGGCCCACGTCCGATTGGGACCGGCCGAAGAAGGCACGGGTTCAAGCCAAGCCAGCCGGGCAGATCAGTTGGAGCTTTATCGCAAATGGGATGCTGTTGAGAGTTTCCATCTGCTTCGAGCCTCCGATTCTGAAGTTCGCTTTCGGTGTGAGTTGTTTGCAGTTTACAAAAGCGAGCAATTCGACAGGCAGATCTTGAACCCAGTGCCCGAGAATGGGAGATCATTTTCAGTGAGCGACGCTACGCTGAGTTTGGCCCATGCTTCACTCCTTTGCCAGCTTTACCTTCCTGCAGGGCACAACATTGCTATAAGTTCGGATGATCTGGAGGACTTCTACCATGGGTTTGTGGTCAGTGACAGACATGCTGCTAGAAACCACATACACGGTGTCTGCTATGGTCGGGACTTCAAGGGGTGGAATGCCTACAGGGAGGAGTTTCATGATGTTCAAGTCGTGGGCTGTTTTAAGACACTGGCGATGGGCACGAACTTCGCTGTAGAAACGGCTCAACAGGCACATTCCGTGCTACTCCGGCGAGCTGGGTGCTTACTGCCAAGAGAACAAGTTGCATATCGGCGCCCACCCTCGGAAGTGCTGAAGGGGCGGCCCTACGGATGCCACATGAATGTATGCAATGACTCGGCGACAGATGAGCCCTACAATATGCTGCATGGGTTGAGCGCGAAGGAGGTTGCCTCGACTATCATCTCGCAGATTGAACCCTTCATGCACACGAAGCCCCAGCTGGGCGGCTGTGAGGGAGAGGTTTCCCTCTCCATGGAAGACCTCACAGACAGCGAAAAGAATCCCCTCGGACAAGCTGCCCGGAAGTTTGTAGGGCGCAGGCTCGTCAAATGCATGATGCATGTCAAGGTAACCCGAAATAGTGGGCTGTAACATCGTGTGATGCCCCTTGTAATCAGCATGCTTCAACAGCTCTAGCACGGCGTCCCTTGGCATCCGAGCCTGATAGACTGACAGACCCCTGCTGCAAAAGGAGAGGCGTCAGTGCAAAAGAGCGCCTCAACTGGCTCCGTGCGCAGGTTGCTGAACATCATAGGAGCCCATATGATCAGCTGCAACAAGTCTTGCTTTGATTCCATAGAAAACCTGAAAGTCTCATCGTCGCCCTTGCCCTGGAGCTCATGATACACCTGGCCTAGCAATGACATAGCTGGTCGACGGAACATAGTAACGAACACCCAGCAACCTAAGATGCACTGTAAAAGCCCCTTGGTGCTGGCCCCCAGGACAATCAGCTGGAACGTGAGACAGCACAAGGCTGCCGTTTTCAAGCTTGGAGCAGCCAGGTCGCCACGCACATCGTCAAGTTCACCACCCAAGACAGTTGCGCGGTATGCATTGCGCACCGCCTTTTCAGCTCAGACTCTCAAGCGCACCTTCTGATATCGCGCGGCTGCCTGGCTGAACAGAGCAACATCTCGTCGATCAAGCCGGGGTGCTTTGTAGTACTCAGAGGAGCTGACGATAAGAAGATACACATGATCATCGATGCAGAGAAGATCGAACCCGGGTCCTTTGGGAAGTAGCCGTTTCACAACACGCATAGTGCTCCTCTGCAGGCTTAGCGCAGCTTACGGGACCTTGTTTACAGCTGCACAGCCTGGCGAGTCTCTGACGTTTGAGCGACTTTTGCAGCAAGGATTTCATAAGCTTTGCGGGGAGCCTGCTCGTTGCTCACAAACAATGCCGACCTGCTTCGGCTGAGAGACAGCTGTCCAGCGAAAGATGAGCCTGTTCGTGAGCACCCGGCTTCCCGTCACTTCCCAGATTTGCACCAAGTGCTTGAGATTCAGATGCCCAGGATCAGATCTCTGCGAAAGGCATGCGACGCACTCCGCCGCCCAGCACATCAGCCTGCTCAGTGGATCGGGGACTTCGGCATATGTCTGGAATGGCGGAAGTTGTTACAGTACAGGTTCAAGAAACTTAACCACATCAACATCAACGAGGAGCTTTGTCTGCGCAGTTTGTTTCGTCACATGTCTTCGCAACATCCTGTGTCGAGATTCGGTGTTCTTTTGGACAGCAGGGTGACTATTGGATGCAACGCCAAGGGGAGAAGCAGCAGCACGAGTCTAAACTTTTACTTGAGCACGAGCCTGCCCTTCATCCTCGGTGGTGAGCTCTTCCCCCGGTTTGTTCCACATAGGAACCGATGACAATGTTTCCGATGACCCCTCGCGCCTTGGTGCTCTGAGAACGGTTCCTGCAGTTCAGCCAGTCTGGCTCTCTAAGTTCCTGGCTGGGCAGCAGAAGTACTTTGACCTGGCTCGAGCTGCAGACGATCGCCTCTGGCAGCTTGCTGGTTGGAGTCGCTTTGGTGTGCTGTTGCTGGCTTTGGACCGGGATGCCTCGGCAGCGAAAGGCGACCCAAGCCACTCGGGCTCATGTCAGTCTGGACCCTGTGGCGGGACTCACTCCTGTAGTGGCGGGTCGTCGACAGGAGCTGTACCTCAAGTTTTGCCGCTGGGTGGAGATGAGTTGAGATGTGATTTCAATCAGATTTGCTCCTCCGGGCTGTTGTTGAGCACTGCTTTAGTGGGATATGGTAAGTGTTTGTTTTATTCAGGCCAACCGAAGTATGTGTTGTTTCCGGAAAGCACCAACGCTAAAGGCCTCGGCTTGGAGATGCTCGCGAATCCGTGGGATATGGATGCTGGGTCAAACTCGCCGCGAGGTTTGACCGTCCTGAAACACACCTCGGTGGAGTGAGTAAAGAAGGGCCGCTCCACAGCGTCACCGGCCAAGATCACGTACACAGTCTTGTGGGACGAGATATATCGGCAGACTCAAAGCAGCGGTGCTCACCTGAGTAGATGCGAGCGGCCTCGATACCCAACTGGTAGGCGAGGTGGATGCGACTCTCAGGGCTGTGTCCTCACAAAGGCGCACGAAGGTGACGGGCCAGAGCCAGCACACGATCCAAAAAATTTCAAAAAACGCGAACCGAGGACCAAGGGCAGCTGTCACAGAGGCCGAAAGGGCACTGGCAGGCGCCGAGGATCCCGAAGGAGCCGACAATGAAGTAGCAGCCGCGGCCACTGACGTCACCTGTGCGAGGTCCAGATTAGGCGGTGGTGTGCCCATGCACACCTCCACGCAAGCCGATTGCCGGTTGCAGCAGCCTCAAAGGATGGACCAGTACGAGAGCAGTCACAAAACAGCCGCACAAAAACCCACAGACCCAGCACAGAATGCTCAAGAGCTGGTACGGCTGCTCTATTGCACCCTAACCAGCCTAGCAGACAGGGCCAGGGGCCCGGGCCCACTCTCTAGAAGCTGTTCCACCAACACGGGCTGGCAGCCACGCAGTGATGAGAAACATAGTGATCCAGCTGATATGACGACTTCCCAGAGATTGAATACTGAGCACATTCAGTCCAGACTGTGCAAGGTCCGCGTCGATGAAGACTGGCAGCTTTTTTTGGAGTAAATTTTAGCAGAAGTGAGGATTGGCCGCGTGGAAGGCCCTTTCCAAGTCCCCGAGTCTTGGGGCATTCGCGCTGCTGCCTGCTCAGAAGTTTCGGGTTTCTCTACATTGCAGCCATGCCTGCGCAACTCACCGGCTGTGGCCTGGGCCTTTTCAAATTTTCAGTCGCGCAGATTGGATCGGGCGGTCGTCAGAAAGTTCTGCGAAGATTACAGGAGATGTTTCCAGAACTCTACGTATTAAGCTCATGATATTCCACCACATGACGACGTTAGTCAACATATCCCGATGGTTAGGCTTCTTGGTCAGGCAGGGTTCGACCCAGTCATTTGGGCCCAGGACTTGGGCGCGGCTTATCGTCAGTACCCTGTGGAAGTGCTTGACCGTTGTTATGTTCTCTCGGCCACCTCATCAGGCCCCACACTTTGGCGACATCGCGTCATGCCCTTCGGGGCGACATCGTCCGTCTTCCACTTCAACAAGGTGACGGACTCAGTAGTGCGGTTGGCGAGGACACTTTTTCTGATTGCTTGCATACACTTCGTTGACGATCTGGGAAGCGTCGATCCAGCCGGTTCAGCACGTTCCAGCTTTGTGGTTTATCGGGACCTTTGTTCGCTTCCCGTGTTTCGTCTCAAAGTGTCCAAAGAGCAACCTCCTGGCTTCCTTCAGAAGATTCAGGGCGTTTTCATCCAGATCGAAGCTGACACTGTTGCGGTCAAGCCTGATCCCAATCGTTTGGGAAAGCTCTGGAACATCATAAGGGAGGCCCGTAAGGCGGACAGACTGTCAGCGGAGGCCGCTGCACGCCTGGCTGGCAAGTTGCAGTTTCTTTGCGCATCATTTTTCGGCAGAGTGGGCCAACCTTTGCTTCACCCCTTGCACTTGAGGGCGAGGTCCACAGCAGACAATACAGAAGCTTTGAACAGCGGTCTTCGGTCAGCTTTGCGCTGCTTGCTTTCTTTGTTGCTCGAAGCTCCGCCCAAGGTGCTGCCGCTCCGGTTCCAAGAGGTGGCGTATGGATCGCATTCATCGTTGCAAGAACAGTTTGGCTTTCGTGCGCAAAAGAATCAGGCCGGAGCAACTGTTGCACTTTTCTGCACCCGTACCTTTTGCAAGTTTACTGCCATCGGAAGGCTTTCATTTATTTCCTCGAGATAGCAGCGCCAGCAGCGGGCTTACTTACCAACAGGTCTTTTCTGTCCAGTTGCTGGGTTGCTTTCGTGGATAATCAGGCGGGCAAGCCTGCTTTGTCCAAGGGCTACGGTCGGGGTGAGTATATCAACCGACTCTTGGCTTGGTTCCACCATCTCTCCATGCGATCGGGGTGGTTGGGCCACTCCGAGTGCGTGGCCAGTGGGTCCCTGGAGGCAGCCGTCGAGCAGAAGTGGCAGTTCACAGTTCCTTCAAAGTTCTTTAGATCCTTTGTGGCGCATTTTGCTTGAGGTTTCTCAATATATGGAATGTGCCAGCGGTCAAGGCGTGACTGATGCTTTGTCACTGGATTGGCATTTTGGCAGGCAGCCCACTTGATGGCTCACAGGCTGTGGAGCTGCTGCGGGGGGTCTCGAAGTTCAGCAGCTCCACCTGCGAAATTGCAGTCTGCACCCAACGAGCTGGACGAACGGAGTGAGCAATGAGCTGTGCACGTAGCCCATAGATCGTGCGCGAGCATGACTGGAAGCACCTGCGGTTCACAGTGACATGAGAAGCCGAATTGTGGCCCCAGATTTTGTTTTCACCCACCGCCCCCACCCGTGACGTCCAGAATACGTCACTGTCCGTGGGTGGAGCTTACTTCTTTCGAGTTGGTCTCGAAGTTCAGCAGCTCCACCTGCGACGTTGCAGCATGGAGTTGGACGTACGGAGTGAGAAATGAGCTGCACGCAGCCGAGGCTCCAGAGAGGTCGTGCACACGAGCATGTCACGTCCCCGGAGGCTTTACGACATTACGCTGTTGGTCAAGGACGAAAGCATTTCCGTCCCAAACCAACCAACCACGCGGAAGAGGCACAGCTCTGTCACAGCAAAAGTCGATTTTCAACCAACGCCAGCGCCAGCATCTCCAACATCTCGCCACCCAATTGCACTGATGAGCCCCCGGAGCCCCGAAAGCAGAGTCTCCCGGTGAGAATCAACATCATCCGAGAAGTTTTCTAGGCGCTCATAAAACAACCTCCAGAGCAGCAGGCAATCTGGGTTTGTCCAACAGCGCATGCGTAATGACAACTGGCAAACCAATGCATGAACTCATCGCCAAGCGGCGATAAACTGCCGGGTTAATCTCAACCGGACGACTGACAGACGAAGGATTCTCTCCCGCTTGTTGGGCGGCCTCGCTCAAAGCACTCAGCGCTGTGACGCATCAGATGACTTGCCCTCGTTCTTGACGGCATGAGGCGGGAGCACACATTGCAAAAGGAACATCGCGCATCATACACGCCAAGGGTTTCCCAACAACTTACTCCGGAAATTCGGAGGAACCTCCGATGCGGAAATCGCGCCTGCTGTGCGAAGAAGTGCAGCTGTTCCTTCAGCTCAGCCTGGTATGAGTTCAGTCTGAGCATTCTTCACCATGGCTGCTTCATCAAAAATCCATGGTGCGTACTGCCGCATCCCAGCCAGCCAACGCTGGCGGGTCGCCGAATCCACTTTGCCTCTCATCTGTTTGGGCGGACGGCCCCCCTCCTCGGACGGGGCACGGGTCACCAAGCAGGGGAGAAGTTTGTCGCCTGCGACGAGGCTTTCATGAAACCTTAGTCCGGCATGGATGGCGCCTTGCGATCATCGTTGGGGACCTCAGGAACAAGCTTCTTGAGGCCGTGACGACGTTTCCATTTGAAGGGCTCGTGTATGGTAGGATTGATTTTCTGTGGCAGGGCCAATCAACTCTGGTTCACCAGACGCTTGGACCGCTTATCAGTCCCAAAGAAGCAGCATCTAGAACTAGTAACTAGTGAGTGGTTTTGCTCGGAGCTGTTTGCTGAAGTAACCGATGTCTTGAACATTCTGCATGACCACGTACAACCTGTCATCCGCGACTCCAACTCCTGCAAGAACCTGCAGAAAACCTCGAAACAGTCGTCCGGTGGAGTCTTGTCATCCTGCGCTCTCGGCCACGATCCGACTGTAGTCGGGGCACGGAGGGCCGCGCAAACCAGATGCAGAGCGTGCTACTCCGGAGCCATCTCGTGCAGGACGCGGAAAGCTTTGAGCTGAAGGCAAACGATGAAGTGAATGGCCGGTTACCTCCTCCCTCGGCCGGAGGAGAAGGCCCGAGTCCGCGCCCGGTCGCCGCCACACCTGGTTGGCATGCCACTGCGGTCGCCAGGTCTTGCCCTTGCCGTCTCGGACTTGCCGCTCTTCCTTCCGCTTCTCGGCCCTGCCATCGCCCTTGATGCGCGATGGCGAGCCACCCGAACCCTGGCCCAGCGTTCGGCCACCTCCTGCCGCTGCCGTCACCGATCAACGACTCCACATCAGCCATCACGAGCTCGGTCACCTCCACGAATGTCTCTGACGTGACCACACCTCCAGGATGCAGACTCGAAGTGTGTGCAGAACTGCTCAAACTTATTCTGCCGGCTCCTAGCCTTGACCACCATGAAATTGAAATACCGTCGGACTCGGGACTCCGGTCCCATTTCGAATGTAAAGCCACCTGATGGAGCGCAGGCCATCGAGCACAGACATGAGTCCTTTCGGGACCCCGTCGTCGTCCTTTTTCCTCCTCTTCGCGAAGCTAACCGTCCTCCACGGAAAGTTTGCTTGCCCTGCGCTTCTTGGAGAAAGGATTAACCTCACGGTTGGCCTGGAATGATCGCCTTGAGAGCACCTCTCTCAGGCCAACCGGCTGATAAAGCTTGCTGACGCGATGTTCATGAAGTACTCCCACTACCACAGATTCAGCTCCCAACAGTTCGTGTTCGGGAAAGACCCGTTTCTCTCCAGCACGGGTTCAAGCATCGTGGCCCAAGCCCCTGGCGGCACCTGGGCTTGGCGAGGTCGACGGTGTCGCCGACGGGGGCGGCTGTGCCTGAAAATGCGCGAACGTGCTTGGCCCGCACTGCTTTCGCTAAATCCCACACGTGCGTGAGGATGGCAGTTGCGATAGGCCGATAGGCTTCTCGGACTCGCCAGCTCAATCCTAGCAAACGTATCATTCTTCTGCCAGCCTCAAATCAACGGCTACACGATGTCACGAAAGACTTTCGCGTCGCTCGCGACCAAAGCCAGGGCACCAACTGATTTCAGTGCTCTCTCAGAAAGATTCTTAAGCAGCTCCGGTCCTGCCCCGACAATGTGTGCGAGGTCCTCCAAACTCGGCTCTGATGTTCCGGGTGGTCCATCCGGGATACCCCAAACCATGGCCACCGAGAAACTCGGACACAACTCAAGCAATCGCTGAAGCCTTCGAAGGCTGAAGCCTTCGAAGACACGGCCTCATAATCCCACGTGAAAAAGGGACAGGCTTCCCTGGTCCTACAAAGCTGCCCTCCCGCTCATGCCTACCGTAGTGGTCTGCCCGTCTGGCGGTCTTAGCGAAGAGCGCCTGGAGTCGGTTGCAGTTAGCGTGGGTCTTCAAAAGCTTGAAATCCATTTTTAGCCAGGAGCTTTCCATGAAGAAAGCATGCATCGAGACCTGGGCCGGGATGATAGCCTGGAGGTCTGACCACCGTAGCGGGGCCTAGGTCTCCACTAGCTTGGTCCAGGCCAGCCGACAGCAGTGCCAGCATCCAGAACGAGCCGCTCCAATCCGACCAGCATATCGACCGGGTCGCGTGGGGCCCTCTTGATGAGGGGCTCCGTCGGCGTCGGGTGGGGGGGCTCCGTAGCCTCGGCTATAGCCAGAGCTTCCACTCACGGTAGTAGCTGAGATAGCGTTTCAAAGTGGATGCTCGGGTCCACTCTGGGTCCAGGCTGCCCTGTAGCGGCAGCGAGGCGAGGACAGGCGCGTCGATTAGCACCAGCTCATCACGTAGCTTCCTGGACCAGATATCCAGTACTAGTGTCATCCAGGTGAGGTCGTCGCTGAAGTAGCCGTGTGGTACACCTTAGCTTCTTCTTAGCCTGCTGGATCCAGTAATAAACGGCCTCTTGTAGCCATTCCTCGTACGGAACGTTTCGCTCCCGTGACAGCTGCCGCGCCATGTCCGAGGATTCATCTAGCTCTAGTGAAGATAGCTCCAAGAGACCAAAGCCTTGGTTTACGAGGCAGCGGTATCAGGATCCATAGCATGTTGGTCGAGAACCAAAGTCGGCTCTTCAATATAGCAGCACTGCAAAGCAGGGCTAATCAGCCCTGTTCCCTTTCCTCTCCCCACCTCAAATTTGCGCGGGGGGGGGGGGGGGGGGG